CTGGGAGAGCACGTGACGTCGTCCCAGAACGAGGATAAATTCTCGTTACAATCCAGCCGTCTCTCTCTCCGAGCGAAGGTGTCGCGTTCGCGAAATTGCCAACGGACATCTTAATTGCTTGTAATCCATGACTAAAACTGATGTAGCTAATTAACCATCTACCACTCGGAGCAAGCCTAAATTCGAGGTTAAAGAGACAAACGTGAGCCACTTTGTTTTCTATTATTTTGTCAAACATGTTCGACGTGTCTACCATTCTCGTAAATCTCCTTTTAGAAATTCACACTCGACCCTTTCCATGGTATTTCGTTAGGTGTAAAGACAGTGAAAATAGACAGTACTCTCCGTCTTCGAATTGTACAGCGTGTCCATAAAAGAACGCACCCATTTCTTTCCCCAAAAGTAACAGTGTGTCCAGTGCCAAATGTACCAAGCAGTGGTTGCGAAAATTTCTCACTCGACGTACCGTCAGTTTTTGCAAAATAGCGCCGACTAAACGATAAAAAGCGTTTTGGGTGGTAAAATACCGGAAAACGATACTCTGTTATCACACCTCAACGCAATTTTCATTTTTCATTCACGGAGTGTGTAAGGTACGACTATACGCTTGAAAACCTGCAGAGATTATCTCCATTTCTGTGACAGAAAGCATCATCGTACCACATCGTAGAGCCGAGGATAAATTTTTAAAAAGGATACGATCTTTCGTGGTCACGCTGTATAATTTGAACCCTTTCGTTGCTAATTTGTTACACACAATTGTATTCGTGCCCTGTGTGAAGTTTATGGATACTCTGTATATTTCAAGCATCAAAACCTCTGTATTCAAAACGGTACACCATCCTGAAGCGTCTAAAAGCAGGTAAAATTCGAGAATCTTTTTCACAGGTAACTATTAACAGAAAACTTCATTTTGTAATATGTTTACTCGTCAAAAATTGGAGAGAACAGCTGAAAGTAACATTTACATCCTCTGAAATAAATTGCAACTTTTCGCTTAGCAGTTAAACCCATGAAAAAAGAAAATCCCACACTTTTCCTCTTTTTTAAGAGCCTCAGGGTGGTACGCCCGGCTTGATAAAATTCAAGGAAATCTAACGTTGCTACCTAGGTTCGACGATCGAATCAATCGTATTGAAAGAAGCTGACGCACAAAGAGAGAGCGATGTGAATCAGCGGTGAGAAAAGGGCACCCAAGAGTAGCAAAGTGTGCAACGACAAAGGAGAAGAGCAACGAAAGGGTGAGAAACACGGATGCGACACGTCGGTAATGACTTTCGACGTCGCGGACGGTTGGTTAATTACGCAGGCAACACTCTGCCAGGTACGATGACGGTCAGTGGTGCGTTGATCAGTGGGGCGTACCTAAAAAGTAAGCGTGACATATCGACGTTAAGCGTGGAATCGGCGGGAACACCGCCTTGTTCCACGGATTAGCCATCCGTGTTAGCCACAAAATTAGAGAGAGAGAGAGAGAGAGAGAGAGAGAGAGAGAAACAGAGACAGAGAGAAACAGAGAGATATATGTGGAAAAACAGGAGAATAGGCGGAGAGAAGTATAGAGATAGAAGATAGGCAGAGAAAGAGAGAGACACAACATGGTGTGCACGTCGTACTTTCCTCTCGATAACGGTAGCAATAAAGATCGGTAAAGTGTAGCTTAATTCTGAGCGTGTTGTGTGTGATTGTCGGGCGTGTTTCAAAGATCTCGTCCGAGACCTTACAAGGACAGACACGAACAAATTAGAGAGAAAGACACATTGAGAAATAGCACCAAGAGAGCTAGAAAAGGAGGATCGATGAAGGGACGAGTGGAAAGTAGAAGGATGATTTCGAGTGTGTAAGTGTTGGCAATAGTTAGCAAATCGCCTGTACGTTCGAGTGGACGAAAATGTCACCGGTGTCCTCTTGTTCTATTCTTCTGAAATTCAATGGTAAATATCTTCTATTTAAGGTGGCTAAAAAAAAAACACGTTCAACGTATAGTTTTCTTCTATTTGTAAAATTCCTAGCAGTGAACGAGGGAGAACAAAGAAGCCACAAAGCGCAAAAGATATCTCTCCTTCGCTCCCGTTAAACAACCTCCCCCAACTTGGTGAGACGCGCGACAAACGAAAGCTTGGTCGGACTCTCGCAAGCGAATAAAGAGAGGTTGAATTGAGGATGAGGACAGTGGGGAGGGACTGCGCTCAGGGACCTCCACAGCACACGGGTGAACGGGAGGACATGCAACCGCAGGTGGTGGCAGGTGCAGTCACGAGCACACCGTGTATAATATCCAGGACGACATCGCGGCGCGTGTTCTTCGAGAGAGCTCGAAAGCTCGCTAGAGCAAACACGTATAATATAATACACACGCTCCTCGATGAATCATCCCAACTCGCGTGAAAAAGAAGACTGCTGTTCGAGGACACGTACAAGGCTGAGAGAAGAGGCACAGACGAAAGAGAACAGAGGCACAGGCGATTCAGACAAAAAGGCAGAGAGGCAAAGAAGAAGGGTGAAATAGAGAAAGAGAGAGAAAGAATAGACAGGTTGTAAATAAAGTAGGAAAGAAACAAGACAGAGAGACAGACAGACAAAGAAAGAGAGAGAGAACGTCGCTGTCGTTCGATTTTGTAGCAACAAAAATAAAAAGAAAAAAAAATGAAAAAAAAAACGTAAAAGAGAGCACAGCGATTATTTACGTGTCGCCGTCTTTTTTTTTTTAAGGTATTCTTGTAATTAGAGACAAAGAAAAATAAGACATTAAGTAGTGGTGTTTGGTCATTACCGTTCGGGTCCGGGGCAATCGGGTACAATGATTGAGGCTTTGTACTGTCGGGCCGTGGTGGTTGGTGGTTGGTTCATTGGTGGTTGGTTGGTGGTTGTTGTCGATTGTTGGTAGGGTGGTCCATTTGCCGATCGAGTCAGGGTCCGTCGTTCCGGGCAGGGCAACGGCAGGGCAACGGCAGGGCAACACCAGGGGGGCAACGCCGGGGTTGGGGCGGGGCCAGGGCACAAATCATCAACCAAGTTAGACAACACGTCTCTCACGGCTGGATTAATGTTGTTTTTTTTTCTTTCGCGGCTTAACCTTCTAACCCCTTTCATTTTACATTTCTCGAAGGATTAGGTGGATTATTTTTGGTGCAACCCTTCATCATTCCCACCCTCCTCCTAACATTTTCTTGTCTTTTCTAGGTTAGGTTTAGGTGTATTCGTTTATTCTTTCTTTTCGAGTCACGCGACCGATTTTTCTTTCTTTTTTTTTCTATCTGGAGAAATATTTGCACGGAGGTTTGTAAGTGATACGTTCACCTGTGTTCCAGTTTCCCCGAATAAAACTTCCTCTCTGTAATCCTCGCTTTCAAGGGAGAAATTCTTTTGAAGGAAAATTAATTAGAGAAATGACGCGTACAAGCAGGCACACGACACACGGAAAGAAACGTAACTACATTGTCAACGTCGAATCAACCCTCGTTATTCCCTCGTTGCTGTAAATATTCTGAAAACCTCATTCAACGACGGTCCTTCTACTTCTCCCATCCCCTTTTCCCTATATATATACATACATATGTGTGTGTGTAGAGAAAATGTATATATATTTCTCTCTTTTACACAGTTAATTGACGCCGATGCGCGTGCTCTAGGCATTTCAATTGCTAACGAAGTCGCTTAAGCATGGCTAATTAGAGGAAGTTTTAATAATTAACGCGCAATTTCGCAAAGCAGTACCTTCCTCTTCTTCGAACGATGGCGGAAGGTACGTGATCGAATTAAGAATTGGCCAGGGTCTACAGTAGCCCCGATGTTTTATAGCGTTCGCGACAAGTGTTAATCCTTTGACTGGGGATAATTCGTTTCGCGGGACGGATTTAATGCGGTGGGACATTGCCGAATTATTCATCAACCCCTTTCTGGCTTAGGTTCTTCGTTTGTACCTTGTACCGTGGTAAAGAGGTAATTCTACATTGGTCAAACTTCACTGTTAACCTTAAAATTTTTCATTTATTACTAAACTGGCGTCGATTTTTATTCGAGTGCTCAAGTGGGACGTATACGTCTAACTTGTCGTGAAAGGGTTGATCCATTTGACTGATATTGACAAATTGATAAGTAAAAATTATCACACAATTATGTCAAAAGGCGAACGTACCACCCAGAAACACATATCACTTGCGAATACTTCTCCACGTGTGTGACCCTCGTGAATCTTTCTACGCTACGTTTTCTCGTCGATCGAACCACAAGGTTCCCCAAAATGGCGCAAAAGGGGACGCACAGTGGTAGCAACGGCGGTACCAACACTACACAAAAATATCTCCCCTGAGATTTTTATTCTGTCCCTCACGATGTACCTATTCGTGACAGATATATACACCTATTGGCCTTCCACCTTTCGGGTCACGCAGCAGGTGCACCACACCGCTTCTATGGAACTCTCGAAGGCAAACGAATCGCCTTGGGCACGATTGTATTTACGAGCAGGGACAAGACCGAGTGGGGATGACTGGTTTCGTGGTCGGTTAATTTCGTACGTTTGCGCTTCATGGTCCATTCCCACCGGAAGATCACGCTTACGGTTGCCGGGAATATGTTTAAGAAGATTCTGTGTAGACGAAGAGGATGGAAACGCAATAATTGGAAAGACAAAAAGTAAGGCACGAGTTTAGGAATTTTTATGTCTGAAACTATAAGTAGAAACTGTACCGAAGCTTCTTTTTCATACTAAAATGTAAATTTAGGAATTTTTATTAACACTTTCGCTGTACTGTTCTAGCTTGCATTCTTAATATCCGTATTTTCATCAGTTTTGCGTAATACAATACATGTAATTATATATTAGATATGCAAACTGACCGTTTTGTACGATGTGTTATATATACCGGATATCCCGGTTGTTTTTGATCAAACTTTGTCAGAATGTTTTGTGTATGTAAGTGAGAAAAAAATGTTATACAAACGTTTAAACATAAAATATTATTAAAAAGTTACAACAATATGAAGTACGGTGGGAATGGTAACGGATGTGAGGTTATGACACAAAATAGGAATAGATCAGCGATATATAGATCTAGTCTGTTCATGCGAGCTGTGTTTACGATCTGAGGTTGTTGAAAGTGTGAAATTTAACTTTTGCTGGCGCCATTTTTGTCTTGTACCGTAATAATCGCAAGTTTGTTACCATTCTCCTCGTATTTCGTATTTTCTGCTATAACTCGTTAACAAAGCTTCAAACGACCTATGTTTATACAACATTTTTTTCTCACTTACACCCATAGAACATACTGACGAAGTCTTCCAAACTTGATCAGAAACAACTGGAACACCCTGTATATAACAGGGGTCTATCGTAAGAATTCGCGAACGAGTTAAAAAAAAAGTATTGACAATTCAAAAAAAAAATATATATACATATACAGCATTGAAAAATACGTATAATTAACCGAACACACTAGCCATATCCACTCTATTTCATCCCCGGAAAATTCCATCGAATTCTCGACGTCTTCGAAGATAGCATTACTTGCCAGTGCATCGAGAAATATACATATGCATACGATGGCGTGTGCACGATTTGCACGGACCTTTTCCCTTCGATTGACACGCTGAATGATGAACAGGATCGTTGATCGAATCACGTGAGCTTAAGCGAGCTTCCGCGAAAAGCTTAAGCTCACGTACATTTGTCGCGACAGTTTTGCGCGATCTGCCATTTCGTTCGAAAACTATCGCTCGGTTGGATCAGAGCGAACGAAATTTGGGGCTACCTCTCCTTCCTTACGGTTATCTTTATTTTGCTGTTTTTCTTTTCTTCTTCATTTATCGCGAACCACCTTTTCTTTTCGTAGGTGTCCCTCTGATCATTTGGTTCGTGCAGGGTGAGTCTCGTCGGCGTCTCAAGGACGGTGAAGAAAATCACCGAGGCGAACAATCGACGTTGCGCAACACACTATCGATCGTGAAGTATATATCGCGGGTAATAACGCCTGTGACGTGCCTGCTCGAATTGGACGTTCTTGCGTACCGAACCGAGAAATCGGTGTTAAATACACATGATAATATTGAAATCGAAATGATGCAGATTGTGAAAGCATAAAAGAATTCAGCGTCGATTTATAATTACTTGAACCCTTGTATATTTGTTTTCCCTTCGTCTTTTCTAATAATTCCATTCTTAAATACAATGCTGATATTAATAAAAACGAACACTATGGATTCATAGAATGATTCAAATTATTGCAAATATATAATGAAATCCACAGAAAACGGAAAACGTGGATTTCTATGATTTCTAAAAAATTGATTTTCAAATTTTTGCACATATGGAATTAAATCGGCAGCAAATGGGAAACATGGATTCCTAAAAAAATTTCCAAATTATTTTCAAATTATAGAAAATAGGAAAGTAAATCGACAGAAAAGGGAGAACGCGGATATCTAAAATTAAAATGAAATGTTCGCAAATATGGAATTAAATCGACAGAAGAGGAGAACCGTGGATTTCTAAAATTTCTAAAAAAGTTATTTTCAAATTACCGCAAATATGCAGTTAAATCGATAAGAAAATAGAAATTAACGTGGATTCCATACGAAGAGAAATCAAAATTACACGGATTACAGATCTAAAAATCAAGCAAAAATACGGAATATCTTCTTATTCCCTATTTTCCATTACACCGCGAGATGCTTGCATCCGCGCGCGTTTATATCAGCGATAAATCCTCTCGATCGAAACTGAGAGCGTCGACGATCGGCAGGCAGGCGCGTGCAACAGGCTTTACTCGCCGCCGCATCTTTAATCAACCGTTCAGGGTCGGATGCAGTTTCCACACCCACGCGTTCCCTCGGATCACGATCACGCTAACGCGATCTCCTGGACGATCGAACACGAGGGGATGAATAAAATAAATATCTCATCAATCGATGTAATCAGGAGACGAAGGAAACTTCCCAGTTCAAGAACGAAAATTGCGCCGTGATGAAAATATTTCGTACGTGTGTGTGTATGTAAATATGTAGATATAGATATATATATATAATACAAACTGCATTTCTCTAGTTCATATATGTGGTATTATACAAAAAAAAAAAAGAGAGAACATAGGAGCAAGGTATATCAAAAGCTCGATAAACACTCAGCTAGATGATCTAATTAAAAAAATAAACACAAAACAGGCTTGATAAGAGGGAGAAAAAACACTATTACTCTGGAGCTAAACGATTTGTGAATCTGCACACACGTGTTGGAAATACACTCATCGGAGTTTCCTCCCCTAAGATTCCAGCTAATCAGGAGAGCTCGATCGATCGACAATAAAAAAAAATCTGCTCGCCAACTGGAATTACATATGTATTTTCGCGAAAACGAGAAGAACCGAGAGCAAGAAGCTCGTGAAAATGAGATGATTCTATTTTGTAGAATAATGATAATAATAATACTAATAAAAATAATATCGACGATTCAGGCTATAAAATGCTTGAGGAAGTATGATCTAACAGAGTTCATCTTTCAATGTTCATGTCTCACGATCTTCTTGTTTAAATGTTTCTTTCTCCTTGTATTTTTTTTTTGTTTTCTTTTTTCGGATCGTTTTTTGTCGTTTTGTTCTGTCTGTTGTGATTGTCCTTAAGAAGTGGACGAACGACAGAGAGAACAAGACCGAGAGGGAACGACCAACTTTTGAATCAACGGGCTTACCTGACTGCGCAGTTTGGTGATGTTCTGGCCACCCTTGCCGATTATCGAACCGGCTACCTGTAACACAAATTCATTTCTCCGTTTATCGCATATCGTGGAATGTTTTTTATCTAATTTTTGGGAATAAGATCATTTGGAATACTGCAAGTTCAAAAAATATTCGGAATTATAATGCTACTATTGATCATTATTATCCCAAATACTCTAAATTTGAAAAATATTAAGAATGGGAACTCCACCATTAATAATTATGAAAAAAAAAAAATTAAAGAATTCTCAAATACTCTAAACTTGAGAAATATTAAGAATGGGAATTCTACTATCAATATTTCGCTTTATAAATCTGAGAATTCCTAAATACTCTAAACTTGAGAAATATTAAGAATGGGAATTCTACTATCAATATTTCGCTTTATAAATCTGAGAATTCCTAAATACTCTAAACTTGAGAAATATTAAGAATGGGGATTCCACTATTAATAATTATGAAAAAAATAACAGAATTCACAAATACTGGAAACATAAAAAAATATGAAGAATTGGAATTTTACTATCAATATTTCGCTTTATAAATCTGAGAATTCCTAAATACTCTAAACTTGAGAAATATTAAGAATGGGGATTCCACTATTAATAATTATGAAAAAAAAAAAATTAAAGAATTCTCAAATACTCGAAACTTGAGAAATATTAAGAATGGGGATTCCACTATTAATAATTATGAAAAAAAAAAAATTAAAGAATTCTCAAATACTCGAAACTTGAGAAATATTAAGAATGGGGATTCCACTATTAATAATTATGAAAAAAAAAAAATTAAAGAATTCTCAAATACTCTAAACTTGAGAAATATTAAGAATGGGGATTCCACTATTAACAATTATGAAAATAAAATCGAAAAATTCCCGAACGCTCTAAAATTAACCATGATCGTCGTAAATCGCCGTGACTCGAGATCCAGCCAGTTCGAGACCTCGACCTCGACCCACAGCCACCACGAACAGATCGCCCGCTCCAATTTCTCTGTTCTTTTTCGATTTTCGCGGGAATGGCCACGAATCCACCACAGAGAACAGAAGGTCGATTATATTCTCGAATATAAAAGAAAACACCCGCCACGTTCCAGCGATTAGCAAGCGATAAGGCTCGCTTGGCGCGAGCTTATTGCGACACACCACGGCGGAAAACGCAACGGCGATAATTGCTCCGGTGAATGAGATCATTCTCGAAAGGAGCGAGAACCAAATCGACCCTGACACCGACAGTCGTTTTCACGGAGGCTCCGATATATCGAGCCTACGTCTCTCGACCGCAATCGGTATTGTGCCCGATCATTGGTGCGGGACCGATCCCAATCGAAAACCAACGAGGATGAAATCGAAATGACTCTCAGAGAGAAAATGACTTGGAGAATATTTTGAAAAAAATTTCGCTTTCTGCATTCAGCATTGTTCGACCATGAATCCTTTCTTTGTTTAGAGAGATCTCTGAGTTGGAATGGAATTATGATTTTTGTAAGGATTAAAATGTTAACCTTGGTTTCTATTTCTAACCCTTCCAATGCTATCAATACCTATAATTATAATGATATTGAACAAAATATTGAACAAAAAGAGTGATTTAGTTAACGTTATATGTAGAAGGAATGTATTTCGTATAGTCGGTGGAATCGATACAGTGGGGTCTTAAAATCGGTGAGGCGTTAAAGTACACGTAATCGAAGCGCCGAAATAGCAATCTGACGATGATAAGGAGGTCGGGCCTCGTTCAGGGCCATTCGATGTCAACTGAAAATTGATTCTCTCACTGCAGTATATTCAAGAAATTTGCCTACATCTTAATTCTTAGCAGCTGCAGATTAATCTATA